ATCATGTGTTTGTCTTTCCTCTGGAGTTCTTGGGGCTTAATTGTTCCTTCCTTTCCATGGAAAAAGTAAAAAAACCACAAACAACAAGCAACCCCCAAGAATATAAACAAAAACAAAAAAGAGGGAAAAAACACTCTAAAAAAACGGAGCATATAAGAAACCCTATTGAAGGAGGACGTGATGTGTACATTGTTTTTAGTTAAGCGGGGTAGAGGTTTTTTTTCTGAAATTCCTTCCTGAAAGCAGTAATCATTTGACAAAATGTAAAAAGATGAACTCATTTAAAGCATTTCCTTGATCCTGGACTAGTGGGTTAGAATAATACTGGCTGTTGCTATGATTTTGCTCACATCAAACTTACCTTCGTAAAGTAGCTTGTCATATTACTGCAGCTGGCTGGATGTCTGTTCCTGTGTTTGTCATTATCAAGCAAGGAGACCTGCCAAATTATTCAAAAGTGTATTGCAGTCCCAGCACCTCTTATTATTCCTTGCGCTCCTTGCTCCCATTTCTTTCATGTTGTTCTGATACACAGGGATATAATGAAGAAGTTACATAACTAATTAAAGCAGATGTAGTTTTAATAAAGGCTTTGGAATTGATTTTTTGAGAATTAACAAATTCAGTTCTCAAGTGTATCTCAAGACTATTAAAAAAATGTTTGATTTATTTGTTTTAGCTTTGGGGAGTGCTGTTCTCATATGCATTTTTCCAAAGACTTAAGGTCTTACCTTGAGTTACTTGCTCTCAGTGTGGATAACCCATGACTATTTAAGCATGCTGTCAGATCAGGAGCACAGGTGTAACTAATGTAGCCATCAAAGGATCTAAAACTGACAGACTGCCTCTGCAGGATTTTGTAATCTGTTTTATTCATAACATTATTAAGATATAAGTATAGCTTAATTTTTATCACAAAGTGGATGAATACAAGTAGTTTCTAGTAAAAAATGGGGCTTTGATGGATGGCTCATTGAAATAGTTGAAAAGACTCATGCTGGTTCCACTGATCATGGATGAATATCAGACATCCTATTGTGATTACATGTTTTAATGAAAAAGTTTGTGATTGATATCTGAAGATTTATAATGTGCACAGGAAAGAAGGATTAAGAAAAGCAGGAAAAAATACTTGTGATACAAACGAAGGGCTTAGTCTGGAAGGTGGAAGAAGGGAAGACTTGTAAATTTCTTTCTTTTTAACCAGAGATCTCAAGTAAAAAACCTTCCATTTCAAATTACTTCATTTTTTAGGTTGGATGGCTGGTGGTTTCTTTTACCACTCTTTTTATTTCCTTCCTGCCTTCTTTTCTTCATCTTGATTTCTTTTCTCTGAAGGGAATAATAGAGGAGAAAGAAAAGGAGAGTTACATTTTGGGCTCAGATTTCAAAACCAAAGAGAAAGCTCAGTACATTTTTTTTCTCCCACAGAAATATTTGTGACAATAGTTTCCATAATGATTACCTACATTTAAAAAACCATCATTATTAATAGCAGTGGAAGCAGTGGTAATTGAAGAAAAATCTCCCTCCCTCCCTAGTCACTTGTTAGAAGATAAACTTCAACAAAATATTGAAATCCAAATTCAAAGAACAGTAAATATGCTTATTTTTGAGCTGCTACACTTTGAGTTCTCTTTCTTTTTTATATGTTCAAAATGTTCATCTGCTTTGGAAAACTTGGTCTAGAATAGCTACTTTGACATAAAATACACATTTTAGATCGCACGCTTTCAGACTTGGCAAATTGACTCCATGTCCTAGGACAAAAAGTGTTTTCCCCTGGAGTTAGAAAAAATGATTAACCCTGGGGGGGTGGTGTTCCTGGTTTGCCAGGGCCAATCAGAAGCTACATTTCGCTACTGTAAAAATCAACATATGGCACAGGCCCCAAGAGAAGGAAGTTGAGGTAGTTGAAAAAAGTTGTAGCCGTGTTGTGAATCCATGAGGAGGGAGGGCCAGCAGGCCCTCCCCTCCAGCCCCGGGCTGGGGGGCCTGGAGCAGCTCAGTAGCTGAGTGGAGCCCCCCCTGAGGCTGGTGATCAAGGGGGACTTCTTTTCCCTTCTTCTGTGAGGGGGAAAAAGGACTGCCACGTGCAGAGTTGAACAGAGACAGCGGTGGCTGAAAGCAAAAAAGATAGCCAGCAGCAGTGAGATGGCGTGGAGCCAGGCTCAAAGACGCAGAGAGATGTCTTGCAATAAGGGAGAGCTGGCAGCAGAACAGAGAAAACTCAATGAAGACTGTTTTGGGGGTAAGATTGAATTAAAACTCCCCAAAATCCCTTCTAGAGACCTTCTTTTGGAAAGAGGGGTGGATTTCCATTTGAAGGGAATTCCGAAATGCAGCAGCACCGGAGAAGGAGGAGTGAAAGTCTCTAAGGAAGTCCCCTGAAGGCTCGGGCTCGAGAGATTGGGATTTTCACAAAGTAAGAACAAGAAAATTCTGACCGCAATACTCAAATCTGCTGCCTTAAAAATAAAAGACACAAACTAATACCACAGAAACTAATTTGAAGGAACTGTGACCTGAAAAGTGACAAAAGAACTTTTCTCTTTTCTTCCCAGACTCTTGTTGAAGAAAAAGAGAAATTTAATCTAATGTAAATATATTATTTCATCGTAGAAGAGATTTAAGTTGTTACCTACATATATATATATGTAAATAAACCTCGTAAGTATTTTCCCCTTCCCCCAATGCTGAGTAGCTGTGTTTTGTCTGAAAACCCTCTCACACTGAAGCAAATTGTGGAAGGGAGGCTCGAACTCGGAAGTTGGATTTTTGCGGGGTCTTAAACCACCACATCCCAGGATGAATTCCTCCTCCCTTCTTTTAAACCCTTAAATACCTCTCTTCATCCATCCCCCTACTATGTTCTGTTTTTCTGGAGCATTGAATTTCTTGCTCACAAATGACCAATCACAGGGAAAATGTTGGAATTAGGTCAACCTTGCATGGGTCTACCTCAATCTTGGGCTGTTCAGTAGTGACCAGTGATGTTTGTGGGGATACAAACACTATTTTTCTCTATGTGAATGACTTGTTGACAGTACCAAATAGGGATTTCCTATTTTTGATCATGAAGTTTTCTTTTTTTTGGCCAGTGGTTGTCTAAACTTGGAAATACCAAGCAACTGAGTGATGAGCAGTGGGGGTTCAGTAGTCAGTCTCCATGTACATATGTATATGTGTTTATGTAGCTCCTGTGCACAGACACAGAAGAAGAAAACCTGAAGTTTCAGGTACTTTTTACTGATGGAATAGCTGCAGAGTGACTGAGATGAATCAAATGACTTGAAAGAACAAAAGTTCAGGGAAATAGGCACAGCTGTAATCCCAGTGATTTATGAGCATTGTGAAGGATTTACCACATTCTTGCATCAGTTCACATGATAAATTTACTTTGGTCACTGCCTTCTGACTCACCATGAGAACTAATTTGCAAACTTGAGATATCTGAATCTTAAACTATTCTCTTTATTATTCATGATGAATAGAAAATCATTGCATTAACATTCTAGGTTTTTTATTTAAAATTTAAGATTGACTGAAAATGAAAATTGCGAAGGTAAGCGTTCAAGTTGTGCAAAACTTAGGCTAAATAATTTTATTTTATTCACTATTCCTGACATTGTCTTTCAGTCTTCCCTCATTTGAACTGTTCTCTTTTTCCCAACTTTTCAAATATACAGCAGCCAAACAAAGAAACACTGCAAATTCTTGTAAAATTTGATGTTTCTCTGTGTGGCTACAGCTGCGATTTCTTCATTGTTTATGTTACTAAACATTGTTTGTTTTTTGTTTTTTGTTTTTTTTTTTGCTGTTCCCATGCCTGTACCTTTGCTCTCTGCTGTTCCTTGTTCAGGAAAAATTGTGCTGATTAGCACCCAGACAGGAAAAATGTGCAGGGAAATGATACAAAAAGGCCACTCAGATTTATCTGAAATATTTTTGAAATTCTGTAGCAGGAACACGTATGTCACCTTCTGCCATAAGTATAAATTGCTTCAGCTCATTTCCTACTTGAAGTGTGAGTTGTATTTATAAGGAGTGGGTTTTAATTTTTAGTTGTTATTTCAAAGGTCAGCTGGCACACACAAGCAGCATACCAATGACAGGAGTTAATCATTTAGCTATCAGAAGATAACAGCATTAACTCATATGAAGTACAGGGACAACATCACATTGAGAATCATTTTCCTTGGGAAAGCAGTATTAAATTGTTGTGCGGGTCCAACTACGATAATCAAAAAGTTGAATGGAATGTGAACTTGCAAGTATGTAAGATACTCCCTGGTGAATTCATATGTATCCTATGATAATTTCACACAGTTGTGGTAAACGCAAGGTATGGCACATCCTTCATTGAGGGACAGCAGCCTTTGGTTTACCAGTATGTACTGGAGAATTGAGACAGCAATTTTTCGGCTTTGCTCCAGATAATTTGTTATTCTACCTGTGTTCTAAGAATGTCTCAATAATTCCTACCCTCTGGTAAGACAGGATTGGGTAGAGACTGGCGTTTTGTCAAAGTTTGGACAAAAGTGAGTAGAGCCTCCTAAATGACACAGCAAAAGGAACTATGAATTACTTACTTTCATGTTCTTTCTATTTCAGGACCTGGTCTAAAAAACTGAGAATGCACGTCTTCATGCATTAATAGCATACTGCTTAATTGATTTGGTCAAAGACTTCTTTGGTCAAGATTTCAAAAGATTTTTGGAAGGTGCTAAGTACTGACTTCGAAAAATAGACTAAGAAAGGTATTTGAGGCAGTAGTTGTACTGAATGAGAAACAGAGGATCCCTGAAAAACCTGTCCAGTTTTCTGGAGCTACCTCAAAAGCTATATAGCAAACAGGAGATTTGATTTTTGCAATACAGGACATCACAAAATTGTCAATCATCTGCCTGCCTGCTGCCAACTGCTCCAGTAGCGAAACTCATTCCTGGGACAGGACAGTCAGAAATATTGACATTGTTCCCTACTAAGATAGTAGCTTTAAAACCTGGCTGACATTTGATAGGAATACTGTGAGCTTCCTGAAATTTACATTCCCAACCAGCCCCGGCAATACTAAAGCCAATTCTCTTTTCAGGGGTAATAATCATAATCATCACAATAATAAAGTAATAATAATAATTTTCTTTGCAATTCAGATCATGACAGAAAACTTGCCAGAACAGTTACAAAACCTTGCAGAATTGATGACATTAAGGAAATTTATTTGGCAAGGAAGTTGAGACTATGTCAAGAGGAGAATAAGATGGTAAGAAAATGAAAAAGGAATCCAGAACCCTGCATGACCACCCAGATCTGTGCAAAAGGCACCAGTGACTAATTACGGATGTGTAAGCTTACAACGAGCAAAACCAGAAAAACTAGTGTTTTCCCTTAGATGATGTGTTTTCACGTATGACTGGAAGGACTTTTCTTTATGTTACCCCCTGTTGTGATCATTTATTCCTCAGAAGTCTGGGTGAAAATCCTCTTCCCATTCTGGACTGGTGCCACTGTTTAACTACAGGCACATGCAATGCATATTCCAATGAACAGAGCTCCTCATGTTTCCCAACAAAAAGCGATATGCCAGCTCCCCTCAAACTTCTGCCAGAGGCCCATGGGGAACAGTAATTCTTCTGTGATCTCTTCCAGTGAGTGTGATAGCTTTACCATACCATGCTCTTCCAGACAAGGAAGGATTATCTGTGATTGAAATAGTGACATGAAAGAACTGAGTGGGAAAGCCCGTGTTTAATGAAAACAAGAACCTGCTGTGAAGGTGTTTAAAAAATGTAGGACACCATCAAAAACCAAGACTTACTATTGTATCTATCATAAAACCATAAAAATACAGAGGGGACTTCTGTCTGCTAAGGAAGTTACTTATTATATTGCTTATAACTAAAGAAAAATAAAAACCATATGACAGCCTAAGAAATTCTAGCATCTAATAAGTTTTGATAAATAGCTTCTGTAGAGCTTGTGCAAATAGAGATTAACTTTAAAAATGCTATTGTCCCCAGCGAACAGATGTTCAACAACTGAAGTTGAGAGACAGTCAAGGATAGTAGATTGCATCCTGAGTGATACTGAAGGGTTGTCAGTGAATATACACATGATAACATGTCGAGGACATCAAATGACTCTCCCTGACTCTCCCAGTGCCAGAAGCCTCTTTTTGACAAAGCTGCATTGCATTTGGAGGAACAGTGAGGAAGTACCTTACCAGTCAATCTCTCCTGGGACATGGTACATTCACATGAAGACAGTTTGTTCATTTGAGGTGCCCATGGCTTGAAGTTGACTTGATATTGCCTGGATGGTTTCTGTAGCTTTAGTCACTCAATACAGTTAAAGGCTCACTAAAAATCTGAATCTTGACCATCGGACTATACTTTTCTTTTCCAAACTCTGCCAGTGCACAGAGAACAACCCTAGAGCCACAGGATTTCTGCAGCTCAGGGGACATGTTCAGTCCAGGGACCAAGTGAAGGCTCAAAATCCACGTCTCTGTTGTAGTGGAAAAGCTTATATCCTTTCTATGTGCTTAATGTTATGATACAGACCTTGTGGTACTTTCCTTAATGATAGTATATATGATAGATAGATTATTACAACGGCTCTAGGAATAATCAAAGTTTCAATTACTTCTCCTAGCTTATGTTTTTGCAGTTTTTAAATTTTGTGAATTGGAAATAGTTAAGACAGCTCTCACTTTAATTTATAGTCTTGGCTTTGTGCTCTGCAGTAGGCACTGAGACTGAAAAACAATTCTGAAAAAATAGACAAGGAGCTTAATTTGCTAATGATTAATTAAAATATATATAGGAGAAAAAAGGAAAAAAAGTCACAAAAATATTGTTGTATGTCTTGTTATGGCTGAAACTGCGTCTTAATAAACTGTAGATTTTATGCATAGTTAACCTGTTCACACCCAGGCAATTGCTGTAGGAAAAAAAGAAGTTAAAACATTACTATAGGTTCCAGTTTTTCAATGTCCTGAATTATTAGTGGAAGCTAAAGAAGAATGAAAAACTGAGCCCCAGAAGGTGATGAATATTTCTATGAGAAGTGCTAAGCAATTGGAATAAATCATTATGAAAAGTGGGGAACATGTGAGACAGGCAACAAATAACTGGAGGGCACTTTTTTGTTACCAGTCTGTATTAAAGTCTGTTTGTAACCATGGCAACTGGAAGTCCACATTTACAGCATTGCTATCAACAAATATTGAAGAGTAACTTACAGCACTTTTCACATTCAAGCAATATTAGCTGCTTTCCCCACTGTGCCCAACACATATGTCCTCTGACCCCAGGCTTCTTCCTTCACAGGACAATCCACAGTAGGGCCAGTTAGGCCCTGCAAGTCTGCGTTGCTCCCTCTTTCAAGTGGACTGGCACACAGCATTCCTTTTTTCTCATTATTAAACCTTTGTCAATGATAATTTTTAAGTTTTACAAGGTGGGCCAGCTATCCCACAGGGGACATAAAAATAACTCTGATTTAGCAAAGAGGCATTGTCATGTAGGAATGCAGTAAACAGTGTGATAATCAAAGATCTAATGATGCACTGAAATTTTTATGCACACCTACTCTTAAACACCATATCAAAGCATTCTGGAACGCTTTGGAACAAATATTTTGAAATAAACTTAAGACAAAAATCAGTTTTTTCTTTTCTTTCTTCTTTGTCCATAGACTCCATAAGATCTGCTTGCACCAGTGTCTTAAATTAAACCATTACAGGGACTTTGTATGTAAATGTATTTTCTCTAAAACATATGGAACTCTTTTAAATTGGACATCAATTCTGAATTCCATATTTTTCTGTTGATTTTGGTGGTGGTGAGTTTTTCTTTATTGGCCCATAATACTATCTTTATCAGAAACTGTTACCTGTTTTCATCAAACAATTCTCCACATAACTAAACTATGAGTAGAAACCATGTCCCATGTCCCTGATAATATGCATTCAGAAGTTTTGGTTAGCGGAATGGATGCAATAATGTGTTTCTGTGATAATATATATCTTGCAGCAAGATGTTAAGCTCAGAAAAATAAAAATGCACCACACCAGACATACTTGCCACAGGTACTTTATTTCTGTTTATAGTGATGAAGAGAAAAAAAGAATTTTTTACAGTCTAATAAGTTTGATAACACTGAGATTCTAATACTGTGTCTTGGAAATTATAGATTCATAGAATCAAAGAACATACTGGGTTAGAAGGGACCCACAAGGCTAATCAAAATCCAGTTCTTGGCCCTGGACGGCCCCAGGAATCGCACCATGTGCCATAGAAAATATAAAGGTTCATCATTGTTTTGGTTTTTTGACATAGTACACTGAAATTACCTGTATTTAAGTATGTGCAAAGCCATAAAAACAAACATTAACAATTGCTTCTTAGTACTATCATTTAATCTTCATAGTGAATTTTTAAATCTTTCTGCCTCATGAATTGTTATGAACATAAAATTCTCCATTCAGACAGAAATTTGCTATATGGAAGGACTTGTTCTTTATAGAATGTGATAGTAAAAAGGAAAAACATTTATAGTTATTCTTCTGATTTTTCCACTAACATTCATCAATAGCCATAATACAGATTCCATAAGCCCATCCCTCTCACTTGCTTTTGTGCTCTAGAGGTTTCCTGAGCATCACGAAATGCCAACATGTGTAATGAATAGGAATTAATCAACTAAAATAAAATTTTTAAAAATCGTACTTTTAAGAGAAATTGCCCAGTTTGGAAGTGGTTGCTTCAGCTGTTGGCAATTCCATCCTCAAAATCAAATATAGTAATACAAAATATGCTAAATGTTGTTTCAATCCCTAAATTCTGATTTGATAAAAACAACACGAAAGAAGAAACTGTGATTTTAATTTTCAAGGAGCTGAGGCCTCGCAGCTGGTGTGGATTTAATTTAATATGTTGAGTTTTCACTACTTTGGGGGGCCAGGCTGTGTTGTTTTCTGTAGTTGTCCTGAGGAACAATTATCTAGAACTAAAGAATGTAAAATGTTAGAAGAAAAGGAATGAATCCAAGTTAGTGTCAAAATCATTAGAACCCTAATGGGAGGACGAACCACTCTCTTCCAGTTCCTGGGAGTTACTCGAAATGAATAACTAGACCTTTGTCATGCCCATAGTTATGAAGGAGAAATGCAAACTGTATACTCCCTGAAATTTTGGGTTTGGGATATATTCATAGTTGGCGTGATAGTGTTTTTTTAATCTGTTTTAATTATAGGATAGCTGCTGAATGGCCTGAGAAACATCCATGCTGGGAGATAATCTCCACGCCTTTGACCCAGGCGCTGTCTGCCACCCACGGTATTCTACTGGTGCTGGTTGGGAGCTTGCAACAATGTAAAGGAGCTGTTTATAAAGGGCTGTGAAAATTCTAGAGGTGCATAAAAGGACTACCTCGTTAGATAACTGTGTGTGCAGAGACTCCAGTTCACCTGTTATTCAAAAGCAAGCGTAATAGGAAGAACATACAGAATATTAGGCTGTTAGCTGAATTAAGACCCTGCGTTATTAGGGTGCTAATACTAAAAAATGTGTTTTTCATTCCAAATACTGAGTCTTGGATTCTTATTTGTAAGCCAAGCTCACAGAAAAGAAATCAACTCTATGTATAATCGAGAGGCTGACATCCTTTTATATCATTTTTGTTTTTACTGTTTCTGAATGGGAGCAGGCTGGCGTATTGCACAAAGACATTTCTGCACCCCAGCTCCCTCTTTCATATGACTGAAGCAATGAGTTCAGCACAGCATGATGGAGAAAGGGCAGATTGAATAGATGATTCAGAGGTGAGATGAGGACAAATGTATGTTTGAATTAGGGGGTGAGGGTGGTACTCAAGTTAACTTTTATGAAGATTTCATGAATAATTAACTTTTTTCTTGTTTTCAAACTCGACTTTTTTCCCTAATCATGAAAGAATTGCTGGAAAATTTGTTTGCAACTGCTTTAGTAGTTAGCAACACCAATTCATTATATTAACACCACACAATTACTACTTTTTCTCAGCAATGCCAAATAGTTTATTTGAACACATGCTATATTTGGATTGATTTGGTTGATTTGAAAATATTTAGTATATTCTGTACCGAAAGAATATGGAAAACACAGCCTTGATGCAACAAAGATTTTAGTAGTAAACAGCTCAGAATAATTACTTAAAACAGTTTTTAATCTGCTTGGTCATGAAATATTCATGGTCGTATGTAAGAATGAATGTCAGTACCATGACAGGTTCCTATGATAGCTAAGACATTACTTCAATTTTTTGAACAAGTATTTCCTTGTGCATCCTTAAGTGATGTTTCTGTCTGTAGTAATGTGTTAGAGAGCTTTGTGTGGTACTGCCCTGCACTTTCCTAAAGCAAAAATCCTCTTGGCTGAAACTATGATTCTTGATGTTCACTGGATCCTGTCATTAACTTCTAGAAAACCAACGGTAATGCTTGCTGGTGAGCAGGGATTTGATATTTGAGCTCTGTAAAAAACTTATTTGATATTCAACATCTCACACTTGCATGTAAACTGAGTATAAGACAAATCTCTTCCTTGCTTTAAAGGCAATGTCTGTTACACAGGCATCATATCCTCTAACTAGGCAGAGCAAAGTTTAAAGTTTCATAGGAAAAAAAATTAAAAGCCTACCAACTTGTCAGAAATGTTTTAAATTCTGGATGTTGTCTTTTGCTGAATTTTGTATGCAATATTAAATTGCATGTTTACATCCAGATGTAAATAGCACACTCAGTAGGCAGTGAGATTTCACGTAGGGAGCATGGAGGACTCCAGTGGGTGGCTTAGCAATAGTGGGGCAGTTCCCAGCTGGAATAAGCTGGAGTAGCTCCTAGTGAACTTTACATCTACTGCATGTGTCCTTGTGATTATACAGCTCCAAGTATATGCACAGAGGTGTGTCAGAAGACAGCATGAGGGTAAAATGGACCTTTGGTCTAATTCAGTGCAGGCAATTTTATGTGAATGGTGATTTTTACTATTTTCTATTGTTATTATATTGTTATTAATGGTGGATTATTATTATTTTTGTTGTTATTATTTAAGCAAAAGCCAAGGTAGACAAAGCCTAGGCACACTTTCTACCCCACAGATCAGCTTCTGCCAGGGGATGAGGTATCTTGGCAGCACTGGGAGTGCTCTTAGTAAGTACAGCAAAGCTCTCCCCTGCACACATGCATCACAGGAGCTGTGCTTGTGGCATCCTCACCCTTTAGAGTACCAGTGAGTTGTTGAAGAGACCCCTCTGGTATCTCATTTTTGATGTGGGAAATTATTTGGTGCTGTTCCGGCAGGCTCCACCTGAAGCTGCTGAGGTGGTACATGATGCAAGGTTTTCATCCTTCTCAGCCCAGGCATTGCAGGTTATGTCCTCAAATGAAGGCTCTGTGTGAATAGTGCAAAATCCCACTCACCTTCCCTCTGGCCATCAGCTGAGGAAACAGGCATCGGAATGGAGTCTGGTGTTTTGAAGCGGAGTCTGTTCATTTAGTACCTCAGCTAACTGTGAGCCTGTGTTTATAAACATGTTCAGAGTAGCAAAAGCAAGATATCTTTATCTCAAACTTAGTAAATATCAATCAGAATATGATGTTCTAACTGTTACAAGAGATACCTTTATCCACCAGTGGTTTTGCCTGAATTCAGAATGGTTTCTTTTGCGTATAGCATAAAATATATATGATGTTACTCTACACAAGTAAGGATATCAGAATCTAACCCAGATTTTGCTAACTGTCTGTTGATAATGAAATAGAAAAACACTTCTTTCACATCTACATTGAATTGTCTTTTTTGGGTAAGACCAATTGGCTACATATCTGTATAATGCTCAAGTCTCATGGGAGGCTAGAAACATATTTTTTTAAAAGCTTCTGCCATATGTCAGAGGAGGTTTGTGCTTATTAATTAGCACCTTGAGAAGACTATTTCAAGAACATGTGTACGAGTGGTCTGGTTAATTAGAGGTTATCAGAAACCTTATATCAACATAGGTTGGATGTACATTAATTTTTTCATGTTTATTATTCCACCTAGACACAGCATTTATTGTAATACTTGACCTATTTCCCAGTTTCAGAAGCTGAGGCTACAGGGACTCTTCATATCTCAGCCAGTTTAATGAGTTGGATGCTACACAGTTATCAAGAGCATCAAGATTAAAAAGAGAAAAATAAATAAAAGTATTGAGGGAATGTTATGTTCAAGCAGACTGGTTAGCAGCATCACATTTCCATCATGAATATGCAAATTAATTAAGAAAAAGAAAAGTAGATTAATAATACTGACCACAGATTTTTTTTTAGTTTTATTTCCAGAATTTTTTTCATGCTAATTTGTTGGTCACAGTTATTCCTTTTGCTGATAGTGAAGAATAGGTGAGCACCTGCTAAATTTGAGAGTGTAATAGCAACCTGGCACAAACCTTCTATGTTTTCTGTCTTCCTTCTGAAAAGAGGGTAATTCATACGGTGAATTCCAACAGAAATGAAGGTATCATAAACAAGACCTACCAAGACCTGTATCATAGTGATCTAGTTCTTATGTTAGTGTCTCAGGTGATTGCCTCAGAGATATATCACCCTGTGTTTTCATGGAAACTTTCAGTGCTATGAAGG